AATGAGTGTCCTTGATGCCTATATAGGATACCACCAAATACCTCTCTTCGGTCCAAACTAGGAAAATACCTTATTCATCACGCCACAAGAAGTGTACTGCTACAATGTGATGCCCTTTGGACTTAAAAATGCTGGGGCAACATACAATAGGTTGGTCACTAAAATGTTCAAGAACATGATGGGAGGAACTATGGAAGTGTACATCGATGACATGATGATTAAAAGTAGGAGAGTAGTCAATCATCTTACCGACATTCATAAAACATTCAACGTCTTGTGTAATTATCAAATGAGGCTTAATGCCTCAAAATGTACTTTTGGGGTAGGCCCTGATAAATTCTTGGGGTTCCTTGTCACTAGGCGAGGAATTAAGGCTAATCCCGATCAACTAAAGGCCCTGAGAGAACTCAAGGCACCAAAGACCATCAAGGAAATACAAAGGCTAATTGGTATGGCTATTGCTCTCAATAGATTTATCTCTAGGTCATCTAACAAGTGCAGACCATTTTTTCAAGCCTTGAAGCATAAGGGGAGAAGAATATGGATCCTAGAGTGCAAGAAGGCTTTTCATAATTTGAAGGAATATTTGGCAGCATTTCCCTTACTGACGACTCCCGAGTTGGGGGAACGCATATACCTCCACTTTGCTATTTTGGAGCAAGTGGTGAACGGTGCACTGATAAAAATGTCTCAAAAGGAGATGAAACCATTTTACTACATAAGAAAGGCACTTCTTGATCTAGAGACGAGGTACCTACCTCTGAAAAATTAGCCCTAGCTCTAATTAGTTTATCCAGAAAATTAAGACACTACTTCCAGGCACATTCAATCATGGTTTTGATAGACCAACCATTGAAAAGGCCGATATATCCGATAGGATTTCAAAATGGGTGGTAGAGAATGAGCATATGATGTCACCTTCGAACCATGGATAACGATTAATGGGCAAGTGGTGGCCGACTTCCTAGTAGAATTCACCACTTCTAATGATGATAACCCCAAACCCTAAAAGATTCCAAGTACCTTGTAACCTAAAAAAGAAGGCATAAAAGCGGAAACCCCTGAGATTAAAGATTCCTGGAAGCTGTACATGGACAACTCATGAAACTAAAAAAGGAGCCGAAGTACGCATAATTCTAGAATCCCTAGAAGGAGACATACTGGAAAAGGTAGTGAGACTAGATTTCTGCTCCTCAAATAATGAAACAGAATCCGAGGCCCTCCTAGATGGTGTAAGGCTCACCATCAAAATGAGAGCTGAGCAATTGAACATTTATTCGGATTCATAGCTTGTTGTGAACCAATTAATAGGTGAGTATCTAGTGAAGGACAAACGAATAATGGCATATCACAAATTGGTCGTTGTAGAGCTGAAAATATTCCAAAGTTGGTCATTCAGCATGTAACAAGGGCCAAAAATGTACATGTTGATGTTTAATGGCACTAGCCTTGGCCCTCGAGGAGATCTCAAGGAGAACGATCTTGGTAGAAAGCCAAGAGAGACCAAGCGCGAAACTGGTAATCATTTCAAAGATGCTAACAACTGAGCTTGGTCCTAGTGATCATCAACTTCCTTAAACATGGGCAACTCCCTAAGGATAAAAAGGAAGCCCATAAGTAAAGACTGAAAACAAAAAAGTTTTAGCTATTACCAAAAGATGAGTTGTATAGGCGATCTTTCACGGGTCCTTACTTACTCTAGATACACCCAACTAAGGTTCAGGACTTTCTATTTCAAATTCACGAGGAAAGTTGCAGGGCACACATGGGAGGAAGATCTCTAGAACACTGAGCCCTAACACAGTGCTACTGGCAGACCTATATGTGAAATGACTCACAACAATATGTGAAGTAGTGCAATAAGTGTAAAAAATTCTCACCCATTCTTAGACAACTGGCACAAGATTTGATCCCTTTAACAAGCACATGAACCTTCGCACAATAGGGGCTGGATATCGTTGGACCCATGCTTAGAGCTCCTAGAAACAAGAAGTACCTTCTTGTAGGAACTGACTATTTTATGAAATGGGTAGAGGCCGAACTGTTAGCAAATATATGTGACATTGATACTAAGAGATTCCCATAGAGAAACATCACTACAATGTTCGACATCCCAAAAGCCTTAATCTTTGACAATGGGACCCAGTTTAATAGCGAACCATTCTTCCAGCATTACGGGATTCAAAACCATTATTCCTCACCAGCATACCCACAAAGTAACAAGCAACCAGGACTATCAAACAAAACAATCTTGGATGGGATAAAAAAGAGGCTGGAGAAGGCTAAATGAAATTGGGTGGAAGAGTTGCTCAGCATATTATGGGCGTATCGAACCACACCATGATGGACAATAGGAAAAGCTCCATACACATTAGCATGCTGGATAGAGGCAGTCATACCACTAGAGATTGGTCTTCCTACTATTAGGTCCGAATTGCAAATAGTTCAAAAAATGAAAATTCCATTGCCAAGGTTTTAGACCTAGCAGAAGAATGATGAGAGTTAACAATCATAAGAGTTGCATCCTACCAGTAGAAAATGCCCAAAGCACATAACAGAAAGGTCTCACCAAGGATTTTTTTGGGTTGGTGACCTAGTCTTGAGGAAAGTCAAAGGTACTGCGAAAGAACCAACAAGAGGAAAGCTCGAGGTCAATTGGAAGGACCTTACAGGTTTACTTCGGTAGGAGAAAATGGGTTTTACAAGCTTGAGACCATAGAAGGGAACCCACTTCCGAGACCTTGGAACATGGTCAACTTACGGAAGTACTACTTTGAAATACTCGTAGGAAATTTCAAAGTACCTTTGATCAATAGCCTAGAGTACCTCTAGGGGCATAAGGAACGACTTGAAGTACCTTTGGATTAGCCAGAAGTTTAAAAATGTAAGACGTCTTATCAATAAAAATCGGTTAGTACCTTTGTAAAACACGACCAAACATTGAACCTTTGCCAAGACAAAGGAAAAAAGTCCTACGAGTAGGCACAAGAATAGAGTAAATTTGGGCATTAAAAACGATCTACTGCTAGGATAGGGAGGGGAAAAACCCTAATAAAAGTAATGCTTAGCTCAGGTTCAACCACTTGATCAAACATGGCTCATTACGATGGTGTAAGCTAAAAGGGTAAAAATTTGAGCCCAAATAGATCGGCGAGGTGGTGTAACAAGTTGCAAAAAGTGATCAATTGAAGTGCCAAAAGTGAGGCCACACCCCTTTTTCTAAAAGGAGGTAGTAAAACTTTTCTAATTATAAAAAGCTCAAGCTCTTCAATGAGGATGAACCTCTTTGCTTAGAAAAATGACATTAAACTCTTCTAATTGTTAAAACCCTAGCTCTTCACTGAGGATGTGTCTCAATGCTGGGGAAAGGATATTAAACTTTTCTAAGTATAGAGAGCCCGAGCCCTTCAATGAGGATGGAATTTTTTCTTTTGGGAAAGAGGCATTAAAATTTTTCAAGTGTTAAAGCTCAAGTTCTTTATTAAACTTTTCTAAGTGTTAAAACCCAAGCTCTTCACTGTGGACGAGTCTCAATGCTGGGAAAAGGACATTAAAATTTTCTAAGTATTAAAACTCGAGCTCTTCATTGAGGACGAACCCTAATGTTGAGGGAAAATACGTTAAATTTTTTCTACATGTTAAAATCCAAACTCTATATTGAGGATGAGCCTCTTTGCCAGGAAAAGGTTATATGAACGTTTTCTAATTGTTAAAAACTGAATTAAGGACACACCTCTTTGATAAGGGAATGAGGCGTTAAGCCTTTTTTAAGTATGAGAAACCACAAGTCATCAACAAAAGTCCTCATATTAATTGAAGGATTTGTTTCTACATTAAAAAAAAAAACTTAGTTAATAATGGGTTCTTGAGTAGCAGGATTTGAATCAGTTTGCCTTGGAATAATGATAGAATGACGAGTAAAGAGCTCAANACTAGTTAATAATAGGTTCTTGAGTAGTAGGATTTGAATCAGTTTGCCTTGGAATAATGATAGAATGACGAGTAAAGAGCTCAAAAGAATAAGGAACACTAACAAACCTCAGAGCTTCACCCTAACCTTTCTTGAAGTTTACTTTTTCAATTTGACTAAATTGNAAAAGAATAAGGAACACTAACAAACCTCAGAGCTTCACCCTAACCTTTCTTGAAGTTTACTTTTTCAATTTGACTAAATTGTTAGGCAAGCTCTTCCTTGGCTTTCTCACAAACCCTCCTCAAAGGCTAAGTCCTCCTTAATCTTAGAATCAACTTTGAAAGTCTCAAACTCCTCTAGGATGGCAGCATGATATTCTTAGATCTGGAAGAGTTCATGAGAGACCTCATCTTNTCCTCTAGGATGGCAGCATGATATTCTTAGATCTGGAAGAGTTCATGAGAGACCTCATCTTCTGAAGTCTTCAACTTTTCATTAGAATACTTCAAACTGTCCCCCTCCTTTTCCAGCTCGGTCATATGGGCTTGGAGAACCAACGCATCTTCATCGAACTTTGAGACTCTTGCGNCCTCCTTTTCCAGCTCGGTCATATGGGCTTGGAGAACCAACGCATCTTCATCGAACTTTGAGACTCTTGCGTCCAACTGTTCATTCTTCTTTAATGTAGCCATACGATCGTAAATTTCCTTCTTCATAGCATTGTCCTTTCGTGTAATTCAGGCATAAACTTCGTGAACCCGCTGGAGAGCTAGCAACAAAAAAAACTTAGAAAAAACCTCATAATTACCAAATCAAATCACAAAAAGAAAAAATCGCAAGTACTATCGATTAAAGAGCACTTCGGGAAATTTGGTCATTGCTCATTAACTCATTATCAGCCAGGTTTGGAGGAAGAATGACCCCTCTGGCAATGCCAAATAATGACTTTTACGTCGACAATTGTAGAGTCCCTCACAATAATTTTCTTACCTTTTGCCTTGAGGACTGTGAGAAAAGGGAGAACTGCTTCATCATTTGGGCTAGATTCACTAATCTCCACGTCCTTCCTCTTCTTGGTAGCATGTTTTCACCACTTCGTTAACTCAGGTGAATAGTTGGCCTTAGGGGAAGTTGCACTAGTATCCCCAGGAGCATCATTCCCAGGGACATCAACTTTGCACGAATCGACAGGGGGAGTAACAACTAGATCATCATTTGGTATTGATATTGGTGTGGCCCTAGATGGCCGAACAGTCATAGATAACGTAGTAACTTCATTAGCAAGGGGAGGAGCAGGACCTTCAATAGGAACAGAACTCAGGGAGGCATAATAATTGAAGACTAAATTGATAAAATTTTTCACAGGGTGACCTCGACTAGGAAAAATGGACTTCTGACTGGACCGTGGGGTGGAATCTTTGAGGGATTAGAGTGCTTCTCGATCCTCAACCAAACGAGAATTGGACATGTCTGGAATGGCTATAAAATAGTGGTACATTAGACGATAACCAAGTAGTTGGTGTGTAGCTTGGCAAAAGAGGGTCTCATTGTAAGACCACACTTTCTTGAGATTCTCCATATTGCTAGACCACTCAAGAATTCTTCCTTTCACGTTTTCACCTACTTAGTATCAAAAAATAAAACAAGTCAAGGAACCCCACAAAGGGTATTGAAAATGGTTCAAAACAGCTTGAAGGATTACTTGGGGCACTTTCTGGGCACGTGATCTCATTAACTGTGAGATGCCGATATCCCAATGAAACAACTTTAAAATTGGATATTGAAAAAGGACACTTGAATTGAATGAAGTAATGCATCCTACAAAAAGAAAATATATGCATAGTAAAGTTTTGTGAGAAGCCAAGCAACACATTAAATATGGAAATGATGAAGGATCAGGAAATGATAGCCAGAGTGTGCCACGTGGCAGACATTCCCTGAGGGGCAATTGAAGTGGCATAGATCAACTGTGCACGATTAAGACAATTAATGAGATCATGTGCCTGGAAACACATTATTTCGAGAGGTGGAACTCAATATGGATTTTCTCTCACGATTATACGTGTGGAGACCAAGACACTATACCTACAGGGGGTGAATAAGTTTTTTTAATTTTAGCCCAAATTGATTACCAATTAAAACCTATGTCTACCACAATTATCTCTTCTCAATCGAATGCAGAATTAACGATGAGAACCCCTTTTACACACCACAACCACATTTAACCAGGACGATTGATTTTAATTAATATTCAAATAATTAATTCTCAATCAATTTCATGACAATTCCAAAACCCAAACCCTATGCACAACTATGTATGGATAAATATTCACAAGTCCATATATGATAAGAGTAAAGAATATAAGTGATTTGTTGAAGAAAAACCCTTTCTAGGGGAAAAATCGAGGGGAACCATTCAGGATTTACCAAAACCTAATCTACTACCTGCTAAGTCAACATACATGTACTCAAGACTTATACCTCAACCAATACCATGATTAAATATTCCTTTCCTTGCTATGTCTTTCCACTGAAAGTCCCTCTTCGATATCTAGTGTAGCTTCAATTGAACCTTCTTGTCGCACGGTTCGTCTAGGGGTCGAGCGATTATTGACATGCCAACAATCATCGGTATGCACACACCAATGTGTTTATCAAACCAATAAAATCTTTAACTCTAATTTGTGAGATTGCATTGAATCTCTAGTGGTAACCTTTGAATATTAGAGATGTTGGTTGTGGTGGAAGCTCTCAAGGTATATGAATGAATTTCTCTCTTTGAAATCTCTCTAAAGGCTTCCGAGGCTTAACCTAAGGGTAAGAAAGGCTCTCCTCATATATAGGTCTGGAATACGAGTAGTCTTAGTAAATAAGAAAACCCAGATTCGCAAATGACCATTCGATTGGTGGGAGAGTGGTTGTCGCTGGAATGAAAACAACGTTTCAAACACAATTAAGGCAGACATCGCTCAAGCGAGCCCTTAGCTACCTTTCATGGCCTTTTCCCATTTTCTTTCCTAAGTCATAAAGTGACCACTCTAGAGCGAAGGCTAGTGAGCATAGATTTGTCCCTATAGCTTTTTAAGCATCAAATCATGTAAAAACTTATTCTTTTGAGCACTAAAGGGTGTTGCTCAATGAGGGATTCGATTATGAGTCAAATTATGTTTTCAAAGCTCATGAATGCTTTAGAAAAACTTTTCTTTTAAAATTGCCGTGGAGTCATAATCGGATTGCTCCAATTCCATTTTCATCATAATCAACCTAATTTAAAATTAACTAAGGGTTTATCTTAGGTGTTTGGGTCATTACCTTTGCCCTAGGCATAAAGGTGTATACGGAAGTTGAATGATGTTACTTTGACGCTTGATCTACTCCCTTTAATGATGTNCAACCTAATTTAAAATTAACTAAGGGTTTATCTTAGGTGTTTGGGTCATTACCTTTGTCCTAGGTATAAAGGTGTATACGGAAGTTGAATGATGTTACTTTGACGCTTGATCTACTCCCTTCAATGATGCTTTTGGATCTTAAACTTGATAGCATCATGACCATAGAATAGATTGAGATTTTACAATGAAATCTAAGAAATTAGCCAATTACAAATGTGATCTAAAATACGTGACCAAAAGCACGTGCGAGAAACACAATGTCAACCACAGTCAAACTGAGTAGATGACCAGTCCTCGGCTCAATGGGCTGAGCTGATAAAATGGTCAATTCAAACTACACAACCAACCACAAAGCACAAATAGCTTTCTATGGAGATCCTACGACAAGTAAGGGAGAAAGACAAGGATGAGTTGAAAAGAACATTGCCCTAATCACAGGAGAACGTTCATCACACCCTTGTAAACAAACAAACAAAGAAAAATATTAGGAGAGATCCTAGACTCCAAAGAGGATTCAGCAAAACATTAGGTGTGCTACCTAATATGTCCAAAAGCTAAGATCGTGGCACAAACCTTGCCATACAACCCAATAAAAAACCAGGTTATGCCTAAGTCAAAGGTACACACTAGAATCCTTGCATATCCTTTTGCTCTCTTTCAGAACCATTACTGACTTGGGCATCAGAGTGCATCTAACCGACCTTCTCCTAATCTCTAGCAATTTGCTCATTTTGCAAGACCAACAGTTTGATCATTGTTCACCTTCCCCAAACCAAATCAAAACAAACTCTGAAGGTAAGATAGTTTTTGCCTCTTACAACTGTCTATGTACAATTTGGTAAGTTCTTGTTCGCAAACTCTTAAGATTGATTTCATGACGTTACTTGTTTTTTCATCATAAATGATGTCTTCCTTCTCATGAATATTTTGAGTGCAGTATTAAATTTTTTTCATTGGGATCTCGACATCACAAATTTAATAAAAACAGCCTCTCTAGTGAGAGTAAAACTAATAATATTTGACTCTCTCTAAATTTGATACAAGTCTCGTGCATTGTATTGTCCTCTTCTATTTTTCAGTTTAATATGCCTAAGAACATCTCAAAGAAAATGACTAAAACTTCAAAATAACTTAATTTAGCAATTCAAAGATAAAAACCATGCTCCAACAAAAGATGTTCAGAGCAGGTAAAATACAATTCAATCTATCTCATCACTGTAACATTATGTATAAATAATTTATAATATATTCTTTCTCCTCTTATCCTTTCCCACCTCCCTTGTCTATTAAAAAAAAAAACTAAATATAAAAAAACTGTTGGAGTGTATATTGAAAAAGTGAGTTGGTAAAATAGAAAAAATGTATTTTTGGATAGCTACCATACAAAACTTTCTTAGAGATGCTCTAAGATATCTAAATGAACTTAAACAGCCATGTCATCTCCCAAAGTGACATATGACCCTCAAGTCCTCTTTCTTCCCTATATAGCCGACTAACGCTGTAGGCATCAATGAGATGCCATATCTTGGAAAATTTGTGGTGCTTTGTCTTACCCCTAATGATGGTGCGTTTCGACTGATGAATCTATTTTGGTAGAGACATTGATATGCGAGTGGCTTGGCAATCATGGGATGGTTTTGTTCATAGCCCTTGGCTAGCATTGCAAGTTTTAACCTTTTGATGGATAATTCTTATGTGTATAGTCATCATCAGAAGTTTATGTCCTTTCCAGATCTGTATCCTCTCAATTTCATCTATTTTCAATTTTAGTCTAATTCATTTATTGTTCTATTAAAANTCTGTATCCTCTCAATTTCATCTATTTTCAATTTTAGTCTAATTCATTTATTGTTCTGTTAAAAATATATATATATATTTATGGTTAAATTCCTTGGATTTTGGCAGTCGAAGAAGAATTTGTGTCTATCCCAAAGAGGATGATCTGTTATTTGACAGAAATTCTTTCGGATATTTTTGTTTTTTACCCTTTGAAAAATTATCCTTTTGTTACCATGGTTTTATTTATGGTTTAAATCATGTTCTTCAGCGATCCTGAAAATGGCCTTTTCTTTTTCAGTTTTTTTTTTTTTTGGTGAATTTGAAAATGGCCTTTCTACTACTAGGAACTACAAGACCAAAATAGTTGTTTGTCTCCTCAAGAAGAAAAGAAGACACCCATCTATTGCCACTCATAGCTGTCGTACCACGAGATGAACTTTGATTTGGTGAATTGACCTAAAATTATTTTCTTTCGGTCCTATTTGACTCTCNCTAGAATCCTTGCATATCCTTTTGCTCTCTTTCAGAACCATTACTGACTTGGGCATCAGAGTGCATCTAACCGACCTTCTCCTAATCTCTAGCAATTTGCTCATTTTGCAAGACCAACAGTTTGATCATTGTTCACCTTCCCCAAACCAAATCAAAACAAACTCTGAAGGTAAGATAGTTTTTGCCTCTTACAACTGTCTATGTACAATTTGGTAAGTTCTTGTTCGCAAACTCTTAAGATTGATTTCATGACGTTACTTGTTTTTTCATCATAAATGATGTCTTCCTTCTCATGAATATTTTGAGTGCAGTATTAAAGTTTTTTCATTGGGATCTCGACATCACAAATTTAATAAAAACAGCCTCTCTAGTGAGAGTAAAACTAATAATATTTGACTCTCTCTAAATTTGATACAAGTCTCGTGCATTGTATTGTCCTCTTCTATTTTTCAGTTTAATATGCCTAAGAACATCTCAAAGAAAATGACTAAAACTTCAAAATAACTTAATTTAGCAATTCAAAGATAAAAACCATGCTCCAACAAAAGATGTTCAGAGCAGGTAAAATACAATTCAATCTATCTCATCACTGTAACATTATGTATAAATAATTTATAATATATTCTTTCTCCTCTT